CTAATTTAAAAAGAAAAAAAAAAAAAAATAAAAAAAAATAAAACTTGGGCTGAAAAGTTATTGATGGTAGTACGTGGGCCATATTTTAAAACGTATCTAAATTGGATGAAAGGAGTAATAGTGGGCCATTCGTGTAAGGTTACTAGGCCCCATTAGTTCCTAAGCCCATAAATTGATACCATGTGCTCCCTACCCAAATAAAACAAAATCGCGACTTATTCACTCCAAGACACGTCGTCCGCGAACAAGTCTCGAGGGGGCATTTGTAGACAAATAAATTTTGTGCCGATTAAATGGCGACAAGTGTCAAAATTCCATGTCAAAATCAATATAATAATTTTTTATTTTATTTGGGAAATTAATCAAATTTTAATTCCTAAATTAAATAATTAATTAATTAATTATTTAATATATATTGTTGGCCAATTAAAGAATGCCACATGTATATTTTTAAGGCCAATTAAAGAATGCCACATGTCATTTTCTTGGAGAGTAAAAAAATAAATATTTATTTCTTTTAATAATTATTAAAGAGATAAATAAATAGAAATTCATGGACCAATCAAATTGAAGTCTTCTTTTCCAAGACTCTCTCTCCTAACACCTATAAATAGGAGCCCTCCCTAAGGTGAAAAATCACAATTCATATTCAAGTCCACAAGTCATATTCAAGTTCAAGAGCTTTAGAGAATTCTCTCCACAAGATTCAAGTGTTCTTGAAGATTCAAAGGCGTTCTTGAAGATCCGAAGGAAGATTCAAGCACGTTCAAGTCCAAAACCGACGTTCAATCCGGAAACAAGCTGCCAAGCCTCCGAATTACGTTATTAAAGTCAAGACCGACGTAAAGAAGATCAAAATCAACTTTGCGGCGAAGACCAAGGATTCGTGTTCTTCACGTTCTTGGGAAATCACGACGTTTGATTCGAGATCAAGCTATCAAGCCCTCGAAGAAACGTTATTTAAATCCAAATTCAAGACTGACGGAGATCAAACTGAAGATTAGTCTCCAAAAGTCCCAAGTCTATTTGAAGATCGTTCTTGAAGAAATTAATCAGAGGAATAATAGAGATTTGTGATCCACTATATTTCTTTTGATTCGTTGAAAATTCATTTGTACGAATTTATCGTGTTTATTAATTTAATAATACGAAATTTTGCGTTACACATAACACCATTTATTATCCTTTTTTTTTTTGGTACAGAGATTTTCCGGTTTCCGAATCTACAGGGAAACCGACTAATCCTTTAAAACCAAGAACATC